TAGCATTTTTCATTGCCTTACCGCTATAAGTACACTATACAATAAAACAATACAGACAGTGTGATTCACTATCTTCTTCATTAAACTTCATCAAATTGTTAGCATCTGTCCGTCTTTCCAGACAATAGGGTTATATTGTGCTATGAGGAGGAAAATGACTCAAGTCCATGGCGGTGGCGAGTGTGACTAGCAAGAAGCAAAAAAAAAAAAAGCAACACGGTCCATGGCATTTTGTTCCCACACATTTTTTTCAATCTCAATATCATTCGTGCCCCGCTTGCACACATCTTTACATCGTGGTAGACATCGGCCTCGACATTTTCAACCCTTCAGTAATTCACCATAGGACATGTACTCCGGGACTATTCCATCCTCCATTCACCGGTGTAACCCAGGCAAATAAGCCTTCGTAGACTAAGCATTAGGAAAACTGTCGCAAAATCTCCTCTTTCCAATACCTCAGTGTTTGCGATCTCGTCCTGCCATTTAATGCCAAGTATTCTTCTTAGACATCGCATGTTAAAGCTATTCATGCGTCTCTTCTGGTGCGAATAAGTCCCCTGAATTTGTCCCCTGCAAAAAAAAGTGTACTTAAACGTATGGCCGACTGAACACTCCCTAGAACACATCATAATTACATACGCAAGAGCCTGAATACCTTAAAACATTTGGAGGCCCCACATAGAAATTTAAGTGGACTGAATCTTTCCAATGCTTTCATTGTGTTGGCGCCTCTTTAATAACCGAGTTTTAAAAATTAGGATTACTCTTGTCGTTGTTACAGAGAGTGTTTCTAAAACTACGCCTACTTCACGTGGTCGGACAGTCTTCTTCTTCTTCTTTCTTCTTTGTTCACCGGCTGTAAGCTTTCCCTCGAAGTCCTGGTGTTTCGTCCATATAAACTGTAGTTTTGTGCCAGGGCCTCACTTTTGAGCGAATATCAGTTGTACTGTTTATTTGTTTGCAGTTGGTTGCTCTTTGCCCTTCGGGCGAATGCATTCTGACTTAAAAGGAAGCCTCCAGTAATTCGACTCCTACGACATGCTTATTGTAGAGGAAGTGGGTGTATTCTTGACCCCCCACCACAATGGGGCCCCGGAAACTACATGGGGAGGACGGACAGTAATTCCGAGTATTTTAGAGAATAATCATTGTTCAGTGGTGTAGCGGTTAGACGCTCGCCTGCGTATCCAAAGGTCGTGGGTTCAGATCCTGAAGGAGTCGGACTTTTATTCTGTTTTTTTTTTTTAAATGACCGTGGCTCCCAGATCGACCCAGCCCTAAATGGGTACCAAGTAAAGTCCTGGGAAGTAAAAGCTGTCGGCGTGATTCTCAGCACATCACCCATGGAGTACCGATTGGTCTTTAAAATATTGGTCTATATGCTCAATACGCAAGCAAGCGTGGAAAATGGTCCTTTCCTTTTTTTTTTTCAACTTGACATTATTATTTTAAACAGCAGTCAAGTGACTTCAGACTACTTCAAACAGTGATGCTGATGCCTGCGAGCTCTGGCACCGTGTGCCCCCATAGATTATTAAGAGGGGCTGAGGCCTCTTCTCCACCAGCTCCGCCCATGAAAATTTGCGAGGAGAGTAAGTGGCCTTGAGCTTGGAAGTTATTTTTGCTTCTGACCGCGCTTTGCTAATGCAATTTCCACTCATGGGGAAAAGTCTATAGTTTCGCTGCCAAGGCTACTGAGTTAAGTGCTTGATGCAGCACTGTGAGCTGTGTTTTTTTTCTCCCCGTGGAATGCTTTTCATTTGTGCTGCGGTCGGTTCATGGTATTCAATATGACCAACAGTAGCCGGTTTAAGCGAGGACTGGCGAAATACCTTATGTATTAATTGTACACGGATATATTCAACTACTTCAGGCAAAGACAAACTGCAATTCTGGTGACGACTGTGGGCTTTTACTTATGCATTCACTACGTGCGCATATTTCTGCATTGGCCAGGACTAATCGATCCAATGCAGCCAACCTTCATTGTGGAGACGGCACCTGATTGATTGATTGAATCGTTTAGTTCACCAATATTTCAAATGAGACAGTGAGGGGCATTTCATTTGATTTCCACTGGCACAGAAAGGGAGTAAATATGGGGTGACTTGACTGCAGTGAAGTTGAAATCTCGACCAAGAGATTAAGACCTAACCATGTGTAGTTTATTGGTGTTATTTTTTAAGCATTAGTTTGAAAACTAATTATATATATATATATATATATATATATATATATATATATATATATATATATATATATATATATATTAAAGTAGTTGCCGTGTGGCGTTGGTAGTCATGTCGATCCACAACGCTCTGTCTCGTGTGCTTCCAATCAACTCTGACACAGATGATCCTTCATACCATGATGTCAGACTTTCCAGCATCTTTTCTCTCCGTCTCCCTCTGCCTCTCTTCCCCTCCAACTTTGCTACTGTCACGATGTACTCCAGCTTCCTCCTTTCACATCTCAGCTGACAAAGAAAGATTGCATAAAATATTCTTCATTTTGTAAAATGCTGCCTCTGCTTGAACTATTCAACATGTAACTTCTTTAATATGATGCCAGACTCATGTTTAGAGACTAACCGGGACTTGATAAGTGATTTGGTCAACGTCATGATCACAACGTGTATTTCTCATGACATTACCTGACACCAATTTTAAGCCGGCGTCATGGGAGCAACGGTAAACTTCGACGCCAAAATTTTTTCGCAGATTCGAACCCAAACCTTAGGGCCAGAAAACAAGCGTCTTGTCATTACACTACCCCACACATCACAGAATCAAATGTAATTTTTAACAAAAGGATAAAAGAAGGGAGATTTACACACTAAATTCAATGCTTTTCAACATAAACCTGACTTAGCAGTCTGTGCCTCAGGCGTTTCAAACACTCTTCATAATTCCGGCGTGCCGGGTTCGATCCCAGCTGCAGACTATTCGGCAACTGACCACCTTGCGTTGGTTTCCACAGTAGTATTGAGAGCCGACCGTTAAGTAAGCAATGGCAAACTACTGCCCAGAAACTTGCCCAGAAAACCCATAACAGCCAACACACGCTAGGGTTGGTATTAAAACGTCCTGTAAAGGTCACGCAACGAACGAAGCAGAAACAGATCATACATGTGAGCCGAAAATACACTTCTCTTTTTTGTAAACCAGAAATGTAAGGAGCAGGGCATTTTGTGGACGCGGTGTTTCATTGGTTACAATTTGTATGCATACTAACTAAGAAAGGGAGGATTCGTTTCATGTCTATATAAACCGACCTTAAAAAATGTGATGTTCTTTGGTGGTGATTTCATTCGTATTTGATAAGTAGGGTAAGGTTTTTGTTAATTCATTGTTTCTTGTAACGTGATGCAGTAATCACTTAGTAGTAATCAATAAATAATAAGTGTAGTAATCCACTTTTGTGGAAGACTTTTTAACGCGTGAGGGTCTTGCTCGTCATACTGGCTGTGAGTCTCATGTCTCTTCATAGCACACAATAACAATATCGTCTGGAAAGACCGTAACTCATTATATCTTTTTATTTTCATGTGGGTTCTAGAGCTCAATTTTTAGAGAACAAAAAAAAAAAAAAAAAACCCATTAGGAACTAACGAACTTTATTTTGAAAGGTTCACAAACTGGGCACGCATTCGGCCCTTTCAAACATCCATCTTTCAGACAGCACTATTCCTTAACAAGCATTTCGTAGCAGTCGATGCATCATGTGTGTTTCCTTTAAAGTTGGAGTTCACTGTGGTAGGAAAGAAATCGGCAGTTTGCTTAGAAATAAGTTAGATCTGGAAGACGGATGTGCATACAGAACTCAAGTTCCGGATCAAAACCAAAGTCCAGGAGTGGACGAATAACCATGACTTTGCACCGGAGTTCACAGCCGGTGAACCTGAAGAAGAAGAAGAAGACGAAGAAGAAGAAGAAGAAGAAGAAGAAGAAGAAGAAGAAGAAGAAGAAGAAGAAGAAGAAGAAGAAGAAGAAGAAGAAGAAGAAGAAGAAGAAGAAGAAGAAGAAGAAGAAGAAGAAGAAGAAGCAGAAGAAGAAGAAGAAGAAGAAGAAGAAGAAGAAGAAGAAGAAGAAGAAGAAGAAGAAGAAGAAGAAGAAGAAGAAGAAGAAGAAGAAGAAGAATGCTCGTCATATGTTAAACATATGTGGCTGAAAGTAAGATACCTATGTATCGATACCGGCTGAAAGTAAGATACCTCTGTATCGATACATGCTGAAATAAGAGAAGTGGACACAATAAGCTAGGTGAAAATTGACACAGAATGGGGTTAATTTGGGGGTCTCCGTGGCGAAGTGGCCAATCCGTTTGCCTCCCGCTCTGAAGGTCGTGAATTCATACCACGACTGCGCCATTCGGTTCGCGAATGCAATTTTTACACAGATCTTCTTGGACCGTCGCCGAAGCTACGGTGTTCGTGTGTTGTGCGACAATCTCGACAGGCGTTTAGCTGTTATCTTCGGAGAAAAACCGAACCATGAAGATTCAAACCCGGAGCAATCAAGTCGACGCTCTCGATTTTAACTATTGACCGTATAATGTACCAGTCTAGAGATGAAAAGAGGGCTAAGACAAAAAAATCGCCTGTGTATAATGGCTGACTGTGAGCTTAGACCACAGACGCTGATTAAAAATGGTGTAGTACCGGCACCCCCTTTTTAGGCACTATAGTTTTCAGCGCAACTATAATAGACACTCTGTGTGAGTACCGGCACCATGTAAAGACACGCTATGGTGAGTAAAAACAGTCTCTAAGCCACTTTGTGGTGAATACCGACACCTTTTAAAGACCATCTTTTGTTTGTACCGGCACCTTTTTTTTGGCTATCTGTGGTGAGAACTGGCACCTCTTATTGTAACTTTCACGGTAATACGGGCATCCTTCTTCTTATTTAAAAAAAAAAAAAACTTTGACTGTTGTATTTATTTTCTGAAATGCGTTACATTTTATTTCAGAAACCAGCGGAGTCACGCAAGAAACAATGTATTACTTCGCGGTTGTTATGGTAGCATTTGTTGCATGTACAACAAATGGACAATCTGTCAATTCAACTACAAAATATCAACCCGTGACTACAGGAAATGGAACAAACAACAGTACGACGCAAATGCCACAGGAACTGGTTCAACTAATCCTGGAAAACCATAACGCACCGCGGCTAAGGGAGAAGCAGGCGGCTTTGGCCAACTTGGTGAGTAGCAGCATAACCTGTACTTGTAGAGGTTCTCTTAATGTTGTACATATTTTGTTGAGATACTTTTAAATCTTTCGTTCTCCGAACATAATCTTCCAGTTTCATTGAAACTTTTTTTTTATTGTCATCATCATCACTATCATCGTCTTTATTATCATCACCATTATTATTACTATTATTTTAGCACTGTAATATTGAAACTGATAAATTATATGTTCTTATTATGTTGTTAAAAAGGTTATCTATGTTGATAAAGACTTCGGTTGAAACTTTCCATTACATCCTTTTTTTTTTAACCCGATCGTCGAAATTCTCACTCCTAGTTTTGCGTTCAGTGAAATCGTTTCTTGTTAAATGTTGTTCGTTTGAAACGTCCGTGTGTATTTGTACAGGTCTTTTCTTTCGTATAACTTCCTGTTCATATTTTCTTTTCATGTGGTTATGTGTTGTAGTTTGACAGTAGTTCCGTACTCATATATATATATATATATATATATATATATATATATATATATATATATATATATATGTATTAATATATATATATATATATATATATATATATATATATATATATATATATATATATATATATATGTTAATCACGACATTGTACGTTAAATGTTACTGATAATATGAGTTAGTTAGTTGGGTTATCCTCATTGCACTCCAGACATGTCCATAGGTGCTCAGATCCTTCCCTCAGTATGAACCCCAACGTCCGATGGCTAATAGTACCAGTTCTATGTTGATTAACAAGTCTTCTGGCGTAACTGGTGTGCGTCTCGTTTTTTGCTGTGCCGATCTTAATTCCCAAGTCTGCCATTCTGGCGAGTGATGTGGATTCACTGCCACCAAAGTCCTCTATCCTTCCCATTTCTCTGAGGGCATTGATAATATCAGCATGATCCATAGGCTGACCGTCGGTAGTGATAGCGGATCCAGCCAACCTGTCAGCTCTTTCATTTCCATCGACGCCTGCGTGACCCGGAACAAAAATAAAGGTGACTCCACTCACAGTGGACTTCTGTAATGATTCAAGCCATTGTCTTCGCACTGAACCTGCCTGAACTCTCCGGATCATACTCATTGAGTCACTGAGTATTACTGATAATATTATAGATGCTAAACCAAGCACAGCCAGTGACACATCAATGTTCTTCTATGCTTGTCTATTGTTTAGAACTGGTTCTGCAACGTCCTGTAAAGAATACGCCGATTAAGGGTGCTGCTCTGGTGTAGAGGCTACAAGCTGGCTTGCGAATCGGAAAGTCGTGGGTTCATGTCCTGATGGAGAAAAACTTTAAAAAAATAAAAAATGACCTTGGCTCTCAGGTCGACCCGGCCTTACATGGGCACCAGGTGTACTCCTGTGAAGGATAGGCGGGCGGCGTGATGTTGGCGATTCCTCTTCTTCTTCACTTCCTCTTTTACTAACCACTGTGGGTGTCGAGGGAGATTTAAGGTTCTGTTTCTAGCTCTTCTGGCTGCCTCGACCATAGGCACATCGTGCTGTTGTAGAGTTTCTCTGATGTTATCCTTCCATCTTGTTCTTGGTCTACCCCGTGCTCTACGTCCTTCTTTTTTTTTTCCATGTATGCTTTGTATGGTATGGTGTCACAGTGGCGATTGGTCAATAATTTATAGGTCTAGCCCTTAATGCATGAAGGCTTAGAAAAGGGCCCCCTACTTATTTACTTACTTGTCTATTATTATTATTGTCAGAATACATAATACACTCAAGTTTCATAGAAGAAAAAATATAGGACTAACGCCATTACTATCACAACTTGAGCTTTGATTATATGAGCCCTTCAGCCGTGGATGACACGCATCAAAACTTGTCAAAACAATTGTAGCCATAGAAAGCATCTTATATAAATAAAATGGGGTCGCGTTAGTGTAATCGATAGGAGACTCGCTTTCAAATCCAACTGCGACTTGCTGCAGTCCACGGCCGGTGTTCGAAACCGGGGGGTTTCCGGGATTTATCCAGTCCATCCGTAATGGGTACCAGAGTTAACAATAAGCAGTAAATGGAGGGACGTCGCTGTAACTACGGGGTTGCGTGCGAACAGCGACACAGGCCGACAGTTTCTTATCAGCTGTCCGTACTGGTGGCAGAGCACTTATGATTTATAACCGTGTGCAATGACGCTGGTTCACATCTCCAGTTTTTACCTTTACTTTTATATATATATATTGAAAAAAAAAAAAGGTTTTGATTGATTCACCGTGTAATTTCTGGAGTCTCACGAACAAAATTTTAAAAAAGGAGGGGGGTAGGGTGGGGGGGGGGGGGGAGGGGGTGGATCCGAAATAAGCAGGGATTTGCTAAAATCGGAAGTGTTAGGACAAAAGACGCAGATACCGCAGCCTAGCTGCAATCATAACACAACGTGCCGAACTCTCTTGGAAAGACAAAGGTAGACGACTTCGTCGCCGGTGGGATCAGTATTTGGGTCTGTCTCCTTGATCGCATCAACACAGTAGGAGTCCTTTTCAGGGCTACTTGGCGGTGAGCAATGCTAGGCCATTTTTATCTGTAGCAAATAAACCTAGTCACAATTATAACCTAAAGGTTCTCCTTCGGGGATGCTGGTTGAACGTGATAATTTCTTTCTACAGCAAAGCAAACCATGGGGTAGCGTCTCCATAACGAAGTTTGGCTGATAGCACTTTCTGCCTCGTGTTCTAGTTGTCCACTCTCTGAGACCTTGTTGTGTCTATCTATTAGTTATCTTTCCACTCGCGTTTCATTCTAACGCACGATCGGATACATTAAACTGCACTCAACATTTGCACTATAGAATGGATTTATAGGCGTGAGGAGCGGCTGGCTGAAGACCCAGGTTCGAATCCTCGGTAAGGCTGGGGCAAAATAAAAAATTCTCACCTGCACAGTCGTGTCGACAGCACTAGCTTTGCGACCGTAAACCCTCAGGTCAAAGACCCCCCTGCCTACACCGCAAAGTGGTAAAATAAAGGCAGTAGTTAGCACTCTTGTTTTTGTTTTTTGGTAATGTCTTGTACCGTGGCGTAATCAATCGTTTGCCGTTTTCTACCCATTTGTTTTTCAACGACTCTTGTATGTTCAGGGTATCTTCAAAACAGTTGACTTGATTTTTTGTGTTTCGTGACATACAGCGTATTGTTTTGTATGTCTACATTGCCGAAGTTTAAGTTCGAGTTTGTTCTTAATATTTACTCAAGTTACTAGATAAACCAATGTGTCCGATTCTCAAAGTAATAATGAGAGAGAGAGAGAGAGAGAGAGAGAGAGAGAGAGAGAGAGAGAGAGAGAGAGAGACAGACAGAGAGAGAGAGACAGAGAGAGAGACAGAGAGAGACAAAGAGAGACAGAGAGACGGAGAGAGAGACAGAGAGAGAGAAGAGAGAGAGTGAGAGAGAGAGAGAGAAAGAGAGAGAGAAAGAGAGAGAGAAAGAGAGACAGAGAGAGACAGAGAGAGAGAGAGAGAGAGAGAGAGAGAGAGAGAGAGAGAGAGAGAGACAGAGAGACAGAGAGAGAGAGAGAGAAAGAGAGAGAGAGAGAGAAAGAGAGATAGAGAGACAGAGAAAGAGAGAGAAAGAGAGAGAGACAGAGAGACAGAGACAGAGAGTGAGAAAGGGAGAGTACTGGTTAATCTAGGATAACGATGCTGGCAATAATAAATACTCTGTAACAAGCAAATTTCGATCAAATTCTCAGGACTAAATGATGTGTTCTAACTGTTTAGAGAGTGGTAAGACTTTGTTTCCAAGCTTTCTGGTGCTTTTAAACGACCCCAAAACATCTAAAACTGGCCCTAACCCCAACCCGCCTACGTCACACGAGAGAGTGCAGCATAGGTCCCACGACTGCATGCAGCCTAGGTCCCACGACTGCATGCAGCCTAGGTCCCACGACTGCATGCAGCATAGGTCCCACGACTGCATGCAGCCTAGGTCCCACGACTGCATGCAGCCTAGGTCCCACGACTGTATGCTGCCTATCTATCACCCCCTGAAATATTAGAATGTCCCGTGACCTGTAGATTTTTCCTGTTTGGAGTGGGATATTAATAAAGCACCAAATGATGTTGACTGTATGTACTGTGTACTGAATGTACTGTGTACTGTATGTACTGTGTACTGTATGTACCGTGTACTGTATGTACTGTGTACTGTATGTACTGTGTACTGTATGTACTGTGTACTGTATGTACTGTGTACTGTATGTACTGTGTACTGTATGTACTGTGTACTGTATGTACTGTGTACTGTATGTACCGTGTACTGTATGTACCGTGTACTGTATGTATCACCCCTGTATGTACTGTGTACTGTATGTACTGTGTACTGTATGTACCGTGTACTGTATGTACCGTGTACTGTATGTACCGTGTACTGTATGTACTGTGTACTGTATGTACTGTGTACTGTATGTACAGTGTACTGTATGTACTGTGTACTGTATGTACTGTGCACATTTTCAGACCTGGAACTCAGTGTTGGCTGCCAAGGCGCAGGCCTGGACGGAATCTTGCAACTTTAGTCACCAGCCGTCAGTTGTCAGAGTCTGGGGTAAGTACAGTCTGTGATCTGTGTCGTTTATTCATAGGCGCCGCAATCAACGGGACCTCGGTCCCTTGAGTCCCTCTCTATATGGGACTGCAGGGGTGGGTATGGCGGGGCGGGGTGGGGGTAGAGGTTCCCTAATAAGGGCCCTGGAAGCGTTTCGCCACGTATAGAATTATCTTTAATAGTATTTGTTGTTACAATAAATTTTATTTAATATGTGTCTGTGTACATATATATATATATATGGGACATATATATACACATATATACCCCCTATATATATATATACACACATATATACCCCCTATATATTCTCTGAGGGCATTGATAATATATATATATATGTGTGTGTATATATATTTATATTTATATATATATATATGTGTATATATATTTATATTTATACATATATATGTGTATGTGTGTATATATATTTATATTTATATATATATATATATATATATATATATATGTATATATATTTATATTTATATATATATATGTGTGTATGTGTGTATATATATTTATATTTATATATATATATGTATATATATTTATATTTATATATATATGTGTGTATGTGTGTATATATATTTATATTTATATATATTATATATATATATATGTTGTATATATATTTATATTTATATATATATGTGTGTATGTGTGTATATATATATTTATATTTATAATATATATGTGTGTAAATATATGTATATATTATATATATATCTATATATATATATATATATATATATATATAATATATATATATCTATCTATATATATATATGTGTGTGTATGTGTGTATATATATTTATATTTAAATATATATATGTGTGTATATAGATTTATATTTATATATATATGTGTGTATATATATTTATATTTATATATATATAGTGTGTGTATATATATTTATATTTATATACTATATATGTGTGTATATATATTATATTTTATATATATATGTGTGTATATATATTTATATATATATATATGTGTGTATATATATTTATATTTATATATATATATGTGTGTGTATATATATTTATATTTATATATATATATGTGTATAGATATATTTATATTTATATATATATGTGTGTATATATATTTATATTTATATATATATATAATGTGTGTATATATATTTATATTTATATATATATATGTGTGTATATATATTTTATTTTATATATATATATGTGTGTATATATATTTATATTTATATATATATATGTGTGTATATATATTTATATTTATATATATATATGTGTGTATATATATTTATATTTATATATATATGTGTGTGTATGTGTGTATATATATATATGCCATTATATTGTTATGCTCATTATTAGTATATTATTTTTTAAGTTGATGTCTGTGGCTTATGTGTTTCACCGCGCCGTGTAATTCCATGGTGCTGGGTTCGATTCCAGCAGCGCGCGATTTGACAGCAGACAGCCTTGCGTTGAGTTCGAGAGTGGTATCGAGAACCGATCATGTTGAGAACAATGGCAAACTACTGACCTTATAACTATCTAGTTACGCAGGGCTGTTCAGCTTAGTTTACTCGCGGACCAAAATGTTGAAAATGGGGATCGTCGCGGGCCAGTGACCCGAGCAAAGTCTGGGAAGATTATTAACATACTACAACTGAGGAAACTGTCAATGTGTAAATTTAATACACAACAAGACCGTTACGCCTAGGCGCCCTAGGTCCTAGCCTACTGTAATATAAACGAAACAGTGTTGTAAGCCATTATAATGTACTACAATCTTTTTGTAATTATTAAATATTACTCACTTTTAATTAAAATACACGTATTTCCAACTTGTTGTTTGAATTACAAATGAACGTTAGTATTGTCACTTCAACTGCATTGTCATAATGATAATAATAATAATAATAATAATAATAATAATAATAATAATAATAATAATAATAATAATAATAATAATAATAATAATAATAATAATAATAATAATAATAATAATAATTTTATAGAATTTAGTTGGTGAGAAGCCAGAGCAATTCTCGTGCAATCCTGAAGCCTATCATTGCTCAGTGAGCTCCGACTGTTTGTCTTGATGACGTTCATATGTGAAAAACCTTAACCAAATATGCTGAGTATGAACACGGCAAATTTGCTAGCATTAGGGAACTGCTCCTGTTGAATTCTTTCGGGCCACAACTTGACGGTATCACTTTCTTGAAAATCTTCATTCAGTGCCCTGGAACTTTGCATATCCACGGTCTAACTGCAGAGAATCTTCATCAACAGAGAATAACAGTTTTTTAGCATTGGAAGAAAAATCACCCTCAGTAGGGATTTAAACTGGACCTCGAACGAATACATTACATTGTTTGGGACATTGAAGTCTTCAAATTAGTAGTTGAAATTATGCGAAAGCTCTTTTAATAAATCTATCATTTGATTGGTTATGGTTGATGAGACCAGTGTTGAAGAAATAAAATCCTTCAGGTTTGGAAAATAAAGAAGTTTGGCTGTTTGGAGATCTGTTAGAAACAATGACAGCTTTTCTCGAAAAGCTTTTAATTTTTCATCCAGATCGATGACTGTCTTGTGTCTTCCTTGCAGTTGCAAGTTCACTGTGTTCAAACAAATCGTTCAAAAAACAAACATTTGCCAAATATGCACTGCAACTTAATACTTTCCCATACGTGTCTGCCTTGTTATGAGAACAGTTTCCGAGAAAACGTATTATTTCTTCTATGATACTCTAAAACGATCAAGTGCTTTCCTTTTACTCAGCCAACGAACGTCATTGTGCAGAAGTAAGTCTTTGTAATCTGCTTCCGTTTCTTCAGGTAACTGCCCAAATAACCGGTGCTGAAGACTTGATGAGGATTAAATGAAACTGATTATTTTTATCATCATATTCGTTGTTTCCTTCATCTCAACGCTCAGTTTTCTGCATAGAACACTTTGATGGATAAGACAATATAGCGACCGCCTGTGATGTGCAAATGCAGAAAGTTTGGCCGTCAAACATTGGTGCTTACCTGCTAGTGCTGTCCCCTTACCCTGCCGCCTGACCCGGCCACCTCTCTGAATCATAGCACGTCACGACCTTGTACACACAGACACATACACACATAGGGAGGGACAGAGAGAGGAGAAACAGAGAAATAGAGAGAGAGAGAGAGAGAGAGAGAGAGAGAGAGAGAGAGAGAGAGAGAGAGAGAGAGAGAGAGAGAGAGAGAGAGGATTTGGGTGGGTTAAATAGCAGCCATCTAGACTAGCTTTCTAGACAGTGTGGGATTAATTAACAACAATATCTCCTAAATTCGTCGCACACGAAATACATTAACTCTGTTCCTTTGATTGGAAGTATTGCGTTGGGATACACACACCAACATGGGAAGACTTGACCAGAACGGCCACCGACATGCTGGAAAGGTACAAGTACAAAACCACAACAATATTTGGTAGGGCAACCGTAGTGAACACCTACATTATGTCAAAAATTATTTTCCCCGCCACGGTGATGGACCCCCTCCCAGTTTCATTAAAGAGATAAGCAGAAATGTCAGGCGATTTATTTTCAGGTCCACCATCTATTCTATCGCCAATAACACCCTCTATCAGGAGAAGAAGAACGGAGGTATTTACCTCCGCGATTTAGGAACGCATATTAAAGCCATGCGTATTAAAAGGTTAGGCGAAATTGTGAGAGACCCCCAGAAAAATGGACTGGGGTTATATTATATTGCTTTCAGAGTCCATCACCTTAGAAGAATAGATAATAGCACACCCCATCATTTCGGTGCCCTCCCATCTTACTACAGACACGCCCTGGCAGCACTGCCAGGAAACGAACACCTAATACACGAAACAACACAGACAATTTACAAATCTCTCATCTCTCGACTAGCCCCACCTATTCATCTCCGAATAGCGTGGGGTCGCCCACTAGGCCTCACAGATTATACAAGCTCTTTCTCAAACCTTCACAACAAAAACATCACCGCAAAAGCGAGAGAAGTGACTTTCCGTCTTTTGTTTTCCATGACGCCGACCTCCGAAGGAGAGGCACGCAGGTCTGGAAGGCTAGTCAGATGCCCCCTGTGTAGACAGCGGAAGCAAGAGACGGAGAAGCATTTGTTTTACGATTGCCGGGTGGTCACACCGACACATCAACTCCTCAGAGAAACAATAAACAAACACGCAGGCAAACAAATAAACCTCTTCAATGCAATCTTTCTTAACACTGTCCCAGTACGCGATAAACAGTCACACACAAAAAACCTACAAGCTTTAGCACAGTACAGACTACTCGTTTGGACATGCAGAAATTTTGCTAAATACCACTTCAGAACTTACAATCCACATTTATTCTTTCTTATGTTCAAATACAAACTACAACAAATTTTTCCTGAGGCAGCAGATGACACCTAAACTGCCCGCCTACACACATTTATTTATTTATTTATTTCAATTTGTTTATAATCTGGTTTCCCCTTTAAACTCATGCTCATCATCATCATCATCATAGAACACTTCTGCCGTAAAGCGGCGTGGGGAGAGACGATCGGCGATCCAGTGCACGATGGCCGCCACTGGCTATTGTGAGAGCAAGCCGGTGACCTTCCCATCCGCAGCGAGCGTTCAGCCGCTTCGCCAAAGCGACTTCAAATGTAAATAGTGTAAATATCCTTTCTCTCCCCTAGTTTTCATTCCCCTCACTTTTTTTTTTTTTTTTTCCAAAACGACTCTTGCCTTGGGATTCAAAAGGTATAAGAAACTGCTATTAAGCAACGACAGAAGTGGCTAGTACTTAGATGGGTGACCACTTTGGAACACCACTATTTCAAACAGCTTATACATTTCCCGACCACCACCAGGGAAGCAAACAAGTCGCCCCCCCCCCCCCCCTTTTTTTTTTTTTTTTTTTTTTTTTTTTTTTTTTTTTTTTTTTTTTTTTTTTTTTTTTTTTTTTTTTTTTTATGTCACTTGTCCTTATGAACTATGTTTTGTCTCCAGTTTTCCTTCTTAGTATAATGCAAATATGCTCCCTCCGTCCCTCCCTTCCCTTTTCTCCTATGTTTTTGTTTTTGTTTGTTTGTTTGTTTTTGTTTTTTATTTTGTTGTAGTCTGTTATTAATTTAGTTTTCTAAACTTGTACATAATTACAATGATGCTACTCTGATGTTTTTAACGCGAAATGTTTATAATCTTGTTTCCCCTTTGAGTTTTATGCTCATCATCATAAACCACTTCCGCCGTTAAGCGGCGTGGGGAGAAACGATCTGCGATCCAGTGTATGTTGGCTGCCACGGGCCGTTGTCACGCCGTGAAGGCAAAGAGTGTCTTAAGTGTTGTCATTCCACGTTGTAATGGCTTGACCTGGAACCAAGGTCATGTGTGAAGGGGCCCGGCTCCCCCACAGGGCGAGCCGGCGACCTTCCGACCCGCGGCGAGCGTCAAACCGCTCCGCTACGGCGATTTCCAGTCTACAAATGTAAAAAGGTTAAATATCTTTCAGTATTCATCTTCACCCCCCCCCCCCACCACTTTCCTTTTATTTCTTTTTCACTTCAAAACTGTTGCCTGGCGATATACCAGGATAAGTAGCCGGTTAACAGCAATCACTCGAATTAAGCAACGTTTAAATGGGTTACCACTTTGAAATGGCGCGGTTTCGAACAGCTAACACATTTCCACACCACCACTAGGAAAGCAAACAAGTTGCACACCCCTGGACTATCTACCCTGTAAAGCTGAACTGTGATCGGTCTCCAGTTTTTCTTCTTTGTTAAATGCAAAAATGAGTCCCTGCACCCCCACCCCCCATTTCCCCGTTTTTCCCGTATGTTTTGTCAGTCTATTATAAATTTAGTTTTCTAAACTTTGTATATAACTGCAATGTGATTACCTTGATGCTTTAATCTGCAATGTTCATAATCTTGTTTCCTCTTTGATTTTATGCTCATCATCATCATAAACCACCTCTGCTGTTTAAGCGGCATGGGGAGAAACTTTTTGCGATCCAGTGTATGTTGGCTGCTACTAGCTATTGCCACGCCGTGAAGGCGTGGAGTGTCCTAGTGTTGTCAACTTGCAGTCTACAAATGTAAATAGTTTTAAATGTGTCCCTTCTACTTGTCTCATTCCTCCCACTTTCCTCCTCTCCTCTGTTCTCCTTAACGACTCTTGCCTGGCAATCTACAAGGTATAAGTAACCGGTTAACAACCATTGAAATTAAGCAATGTCGGGAGTGGTTAGTACTTAGATGGGTTACCACTTTGGAACACCACAATTTCGAACAGCAAACACATCTCCCGACCACCACCAGGAAAACAAAGTAGTCACCCCTCCCCGTTTTTCTCCCTGGACTATCGCCTTTGTCCCCCTGAACTGTGTTTGTCTCTGTTTCCTTATTTGTTAAATGTAAATATGCTCCCTCCCCCTCTCCCACCCCTCTAATCCTATGTTTTGTTAGTCTATTGTAATTTAGTTTTCTAAACTTGTACATATTTGAAATGTGCCTACTTCATTTAGCAGTGTTCATAATCTTGTTTCCCCTTTAAGTTTATGTTCATCATCATCATTATAAACCACTTCCGCCATTAGGAGGCGTGGGGACATATTATCCGCGATTCAGTGTACGTTGGTTGCCACTGGCTATTGCCATGCCGTGAAGGCGTAAAAAATGCCTTTAGTGTTGTCGATCCACGTTTCAAAGTGTTTGACCTTGAAGCCAAGGTCATTGTGAAGAGTCAGGCTCCGCTGGAAAACGATCCGATCCGCGGCGAGCGTCTGGCCGCTTCGCCACGGCGACTTCAAATCTACAAATGTGAATGGGTTTTTTAACGTCTTTCTCTTCCCTCGTTTCATTCCTCCCACTTTCCTTTTCTTTCTTTTTCTTTTTGAAAAACTCTAGCCTGACGATATACCAGGTATTAGCAACTGGTTAACAGCAATCACGGAAATCAGGCAATGTCACGGTTGGCTAGTACTTAGTTGGGTGACCACTTTGAAACGCCACAGTTTCGAACAGCTAACATATTCTCCGACCGCCACCAGGAAAGCAAATAGTTTGCGCCGCCATCCCCCCCCCCCCCCCCCCCACACACTTTTCTCCCTGGACTATCTCCCTTGCCCTCCTGAACTGCGTTTTGTCTCCAGTTTTCTTCCTGGTCAAGTCTGATAGTTTCACCATTCCTTGGACCTCGGAGGAGTCCTTTACTCAGGCACTTTCATCTCGCAGCCGGTGATTTTACGTATATGGGCTGTAAAAACTGTCCACGTCAAGCATTGGTTGCTTAATAAATGAAATGAATATCCCGTTAATAATCTGTCTCCTTGCACTCATAGTTAAGCCTAGATGGCTTAACTATGGTGAATACTACTATATAAATGCACTTGCTTTCTGACATGTTATGCTAGTTACCCCTACCCTTGTTTTCCTATTGACTATTTCCTTGCCCACCTAAAATGTTTTTTTTTTTTTTTTTTTTTTTTTTTTTTTTTTTTTTTTTTTTTTTTTTTTTTTTTTTTTACGTTTGTCAAATGTAAATGTAAATAGGGTTTCCCCGAACTCAACTTCCCCACATATTTTTATAAATATAACACAAGTATCGGGTCTGTATATATTTGAAATGTTTTTACTTGAAACGAAATACTTTAATTTCGCAATATCTAATGTCCTTAATTATGAAATGTAAATACAACGAGTGGTCCTTTTCTTTCTCTGCTCTGCCTCCTCCCCCCCCCCCCCCACCCTCGTCCGCCTGCTTATTTTTTCGTCCCATTCTATCTTCCTTTTTTTTTTTTTTTTTTTTTTTTTTTTGTCCGCAATGTCACACACACGCTTGCAACACTGAATACTAACAAACGGCAACACATGTAAAGAACACTGAACAAAATACACACACCACAGATGCCTTTTCTACGCTTCCTTCCCATAACCCTCAGGCGCTGTGAATGTTTCAAATTCTAAAATGTCCGTGATTACATGTTTGTCCCAATGTGGGACGACATTTTTCTTTAACCTGAAGCCCTACACTGGCTTTTGCCGATGGCCGCAAGAAAGCCCGACTGTTACACGCGGTTTCTGGGACCTCAACGAGCGATCCTCATCCGCAGCGTGACACTTGGTGTCACCGGGTGTCTATTGCCCGGTGTGATGCTCTGGTGAGTTTAAACTTACTTTCAATACCACCTTACAGACAGAACAAGCTGGAAGCGCGGACGCTTTGTTTACATTTGCCCTTTTTCTGGCGACCACCAGAAGGGCAACGACGTAACGCCACTACGCCCTACCACCCCCCCCCCCCCCCCTCTACATTACTCTCTCATGGACTATTTCCCCTGTCCGTCTGAACAGTGTTTTTTGTTCCTTTTCGTTGGTGTAATGTATATATGTGACTCCCTCTCACACATGTTTCTATAAATTTAACACAAGTTAATAATAGCCGAAAGGCACATGTAAATATATCCCGCTGCTTCTCCCTCAAAATAAATCTCTCTATTTACATTTCATCCTTTGTTTCCCTTGTCCGCTTACGCTTTCGTGTCTCCTTTTCTCTTCTCCTTCTTCCCTTCTTTCTTTCATTCTCTCTTTCCACTCACTCTGTTGTTGTAAATATATATATATATCTTAAAACCTGTAAAACATTACCATCGAAAGTACCGTTTCCGCCAACAAACCCAATAGCCCCAGCTTTCCTCAAACTCCGATCCTCTCTGCCTCCCACTGTCTCTATTTCCTGTTAAAGGTTGGTGAGAAACGGTACGAATCAGTATCATTTTTTGCACATCACCTTATTGATTTTGCTTTTGTTTATGTAAAGATTTCCTTGCAGGATTGTCGTCTGTGGGATTAACATCTCAGAAATGATAATCAAACACTTTCCGTGTGGGTTCGGGTGTCCTTTTGTGGGGACAACGAGAATAGGCCTATTGCTTCCCCGGCAAGCATGTCGTAGGAGTCGACTAATGTGGAGCTTCCTTTGAAGTCAGAGTGCATCTTCCAGAACATCAAGGAATTGCACACCAAAAAGCTAGTAAAACAGATGAACACGCAAAACTCAGGCCCTTGCGCAAATCCAGAGTCGAACAACCAGGAATTTATGCTCTGAGCTTCCTGCTGATTAACAAAGACGAAGCATAAGACGAAGCAGTCAGCCACAAATCCCGGAAAACACTTACATACAACAGTATAACCATTAGCATGGCTATATTGCGGTACCATAAAACGGTTACGGGGTAGCTTGTAATCCAATGTGGCTGGGTAGATTTAGCCAGATAAGAATAATTCAAAAGTAGCGCCGTTATGGCTTCGGGCAAACTTCGTGATTTTGTTGTGCCATATTAGATCCCAGCTGCGGGTGATTTGTCAGCAGACCACATTGCATTGATTTCAACAGTGGTGTTGAGAGCATTACGGAGAGCAGTGGCAAGCTTATGAAAGTGAAAAATATTACCTAGTTAAATTCAAAAAAGCCAATATAATTCTAGTAATGTCCTCTGATTTCTGGGTAGTAAACCCAGACGCCTGTGTGTATTGTTGCGCACTTAAAAAATCCCCTAGCAGTTGGAAATCGAAAAGACTAGCGTCCGGTCAAAATTTGGAGTTAAAAATTTACCCAAAATTATTTAAGGATCCTCGCCGGTGCAATGGAGTTCATGCTTGATTTAGAAGAAGAACGGAGCACTTATGGAATACACCCTTGTACCATGATATTTATCCGTTGAATAAACCTAAACATTCTATGTGATTAACCTTACCAAGCCAAGTAGGCAACATTTCGCAGAGTTCCCGTACCGTGTGTTAGGTTAGCACAGACGTTGTAGCCATACCCCACGGTGGTTGTCTTAGACCAGACGGGACTCTATTCTTCATTAGTGTTATCTGTAGCCGGATGCTAATGTAAACATTTGTATGAGCAGGTGAGAACATGGCCGCATTGGGAGCAAGAGAGCCTAAATCACAGCAGCTGGAGCAAATGATACAACAGTGGGCAGAGGAAAGAAGTACAACCACGGAGGAACATTCGAGGAATGTTGCAGCTTCCAGTCCAGCATGTGCTGTCATTACACGCAGGTACCAGAACGGTTGACCTGTATGTATATGTATGTTTGTTTTAGTATCCAGAAGTCATGAGTTGTTAACCCTTAGGCTCGGTATTATGGATATCGCAACCTTTCGGCCTTGATTCCATTGTAAATATCGTAAGTCTGGGAGAAATGTGGCTTTTCTGCCTACCCCTGGGAGTGAACCCATACCACAAGGAGTTCGTCACCCGGTCACCGCTCAATCCGGTTTAGCCAACTACACTAGAGAGCCGGGCTACCTTTATGTATATATGTTCAGTTTGTTAGTTTGTGTTTAAACAGTTGTATTCTTCATCTCTTCATTATTGTAACTCCTTGTTACGTAGGAAAATATAGTCCATCCACATCGAACAGCAGACTGTTTTGTAACCGCTAGGGCACCAAATACAGTGCAGGCCACTCAAGGAAGCATCTGTCAACCCGTGGGGTCGCCTAAGACTATTGCAAAATACATATTCACTGAAGTTATAAAGTTGCAATAAAAATAATTTTATGATTGAGGGTCACCACAACATAAGGAAACAGACTTAAATGGTCGCGGCGTTTCCGCTTATCATGAGTTTTCGGTCATTAAACAACTGTATTGTTTGATCTGCTCACGGCCTTCTCTATTTATATTAGAGAAGGCAGTGCTCTGTTCTATAAACGTTCTACCCTCAGCCTGCAGCTCGGAAAAAAATGCGTTCGCGGCATTATTAAAGAAGGCAGTGGATCTGCTCAAGGTGAATTTTTGTCCTGTACCTGTACATTAGTACAACTGTTAGGCTATTTTCCGGAATTTGCACGCTTTTGGGTGTAAGAATTTGAGTTATTTTCCCTTCTAAAAATGGCTGAACTTTAATAAAAATCTAGGTATGTGAAAAGAAAGATTGTGCAATAAATGGAACGAAACATTTGTTGAAAGGGGACACCTACTAATGATCGGTAGACTCCTCTGGTTCATGCTCCCGGCATGGAGTTTCCCTTCTTTATTCATTTATTATCCTGTTGTGCCATTATTGTCAAATAGAGCTAGCAGTCTTTTTCTCCATTCCTTTCTATCATGTGCAATCCCTTTTATATCATGGATAGAATCCAGACCAGAACCTTTGGCTTCTCTTGTCAGCATTGGCCTTTTGGTTTCTCTTGGACGACATTTCTTGCAAGTTTCCCTAGCAATTTTTTTCTTTTAAAGAATGGGGAAAGCGAATCACCACCCAACCCTCTTTCTTTCTTATCAGGGTTTGGGACGAGCAATGGCGAAGATAAGGTATTATATTATTTTTATTATTATTATCATTATTAAGTTTCCATTTAGCATGAATTTTTCTAAACAAATGTGATTTTCTGTTCCTTGTTATTCGCGGCAATAATAATGAGGTTTTAAATCACTATCAGAAGTTAAAACAATATTATAATTACAATCGACAGATCGTCTGGTCTAAGACAACCACTGTGGGGTGTGGCTACAACGTCTGTGCTAACCTAACACACGGCACGGGAACTCTGCGAAATGTTGCCTACTTGGCCTGCTACTACTATCCTCCGTAAGTATCTGGAGATGTCTTTATGCGCAATGTGACTGTGTTTGAAGGTAAATCAAACTGGGTATGTCGGAATAATGAATTGGGTGAGCTCAGACCCACCACACACCATCACAACCCCGACCGGCAACTCTGTCTCTGCTTTACCACCCACCACCACACCCTTCTCATCACCTAGGTAAAACAAAAATGAGGTAATGGCTCAGACTCCAATAAATTAAAAAAAAACTGGAACTCAGATTCCACTTTCCCATTTTAACGACCCCCTCCTCACAAAATAAATTTAAAAAAAAAAAAACCTGGAAACAATTTCAACCTCCCCTTTTAAGCACGCCCTCCCCACTAAATTGATAAAATTGATAACTCAGGTTCCACACCCGCGCCCCCTTTTTTTAAAACCACGCCCCTCACTAAATTAGGAAAACTGAACTGGGGACTCAGGTTCTACCCTCCCCTTTTAACCACGCCCTCCTAACTAAATTAGGAAAACTGGGGACTCAGGTTCCAACCCGCCCTGTTTAACCACGCCCTCGTCACCACCTGACACATTTTGTAGACAAATAATTACATGGGGCGTACCCCACTTAAAACAAAATTAAGGCGGAGTGAGCAACCCCCCCCCCCCCTCCTTCAAGCAACACGCAATAATTTTGTAAAGGGGCTAGGACATGCCCCCTACCCCATCCCTACGTAGTAATTTTGTAAGGACTGGGGTGCGCCCTGAAACCGTGTATACAAATGACCTTTTACAGAATGTGTTTGTATTTCTCATATTATTTCAATTAAATTATTATATTTATTTGTCTTTCAGTACATTACTTTCAAAATGTGTCTTAAACAGCTCAACTAAGGAGAAGATACGCACATATACAATAGCACGTGAATTAGTGAGTGTCGTTCAACCCAACGGGCACAACTAGCAATAAACACCCGGGGACACAAAGTTCCCCCACTGGGATGAGAATCACCAGGGTACAAGTCCCTGAAACCCCGTTCAACTGTTAGGTTATATTAGGGCCCCAAACTATACTTGGAGTTGGGCTTTAAAATTTGAAAAAAATTTGAATTTAAAGTCTTGAGCAAAGTCTTATTAACGTAGAACTATATGTGACTTAGTAATGTCAGTCAGTCAGTAGCGTGTCCTTTGCAGAAGCTTGCTCCCATAACAACCCTCCTGAAAACTTCTCGATCACAAGCAAGATTTCCCGCGTCCTACACCCCTATCTGGAGATCATCCGTCACATCCTGCATCCATCTTCTCTTTGGCCTTCATCTTCCTCTCTTCCGAGGCATATACCTATATGTTATTGTTCTCTCTAAACTTTCGTGACGTTTCAAGTGACCAAAATATTTCATTTTTCTGTGTTTTATTGTCTCTAATAGCCAGCCTTCTTCAGTATTCAGTTCTTGAAGTATCGATGCATTTGTTTTGTTCTTTAGGCTTGTTTGGTAAGTGTTCAGGTCTCACATGCGTATGTTGCAATAGAAAAGACGCATGTTCTTTCAAATCTAATTTTTGTAGTTCTGTCTGCCCCTCTCTGTAATTTATTCAGTTGTTTTAGTCTTTGAAGAGCAATTGATAGTCGTTGTTAAATTTCCTTGATTGTGGCACCATTGTTGGTAATCAATGACTGACTCAAGATATTCAAAATTTATCACAGCCTCCATTCTTTCCTCATTAACATGGTAGTTTTATCTGTATGCATTATCTTTGTTTTTGCTATGTAACGATATAAGTTGTGATTCCTACTATTTGTTTGGGGGGAGATTATTAAGTTTTCTATTCCAGTCTGTTATGTGGATAGTTATACTGTTTCGGATCTCTAGTATTTCATGACCACCGATATTTAGGGTATTGTAGTAATGAGTTTGCGATTATTACTGTGGTTAACATGATTTTTTTTTTTTAAATAATCATTTTATGGCAACCTTCTTTGTCATTTTGATACAAGACAAACTATATCATTATGTACGATCTTTTCTCTCGCTTCAGAGGGAACACGCCACAGGTGAAATACGATTGGCGGCCATTTCAAACTTTGGCAAACACAACCTCCAAATATGAAACAGCAACAACCAAGATTACCAAAGGATAGACGCTGTCCAGTTGGGCCCTGGTGTCTGTTGTACAAGGAATACCCAGAGACATCTGCTACACCTGGCCAGGGGACAAAGTGGAAAACTGCTGTCAGAACCCAGAGCTGTTAATAGGATACTTCATTGTTAAGAAACGTTAGGGTTACTCAAATAAAATTGTAAAAATATGGATTTGGTTTTGACTGTCTCCCTTTGTCGCTATTTCGCTTTGCTTCTGTCTCGTCTTATCAATTTCTCAATCACTGTTTCCTCCCCCTACCCAGTCTCTCTCTCTCTCTCTCTCTCTCTCTCTCTCTCTCTCTTTCTCTCTTTCTCTCTCTCTCTCTTCTCTCTCTCTCTCTCTCTCTCTCTCTCTCTCTCTCTTTCTCCAAAGTTTGGATGTAATTTTCAGGGTTCCGCGATCGAAACCCACTGTTGGCTGCGTAGATTTTATCATGGTATGGGGCGTCACATGTCGACCTCGTCTAAAATATGTACCAGGATGTCCTGGGGAAGTAAAGACGGCCGGCGTAATGCTGACAACATTACCCACCTAGTGACGATAGATCTGTAAAAATATGGGTGCTCTTCCCAAATGCCAGATGCGCCTAAAGGCGGGAAAAAGGATCTCTACTTTACTTGAACTTCCAGGAGTTTTGCCTTGATATGTTGTATCTGGGATAGTCTTGCAGGACGTGATCCGTTGTCTCAGGTACCAATACACATGTGCACATGGCTGATTCGTCATGTTGTGTACAAGTGGCTGCGATATCGATTGTGCCCTGATCTAGGGCGTAGAATAATGACTTGATTTCGTCTGTCCATTTCATGGTAATCGTCTTATGTCCGTTTTGGTAGTTTTCTAAGCTATTTTACTGTTCTCTTCTTCTGTTGATAAGAGACTGGTACGTCAGGTTGTTCTTCATTTGCACCTTTCCTAGCTAGTTTTGTAGTTTTCTCCTTTTAGTGAACTCCACAGTCGAATGGTTTTCATCGTATAGTTTACCTTACACTGGTTTGCCTGGTTTGTATAGAAGTGTCTGTATGTATACCTGGTAATTTTCCAGATTGGAGTGCTTGAAGTACAGCTCTTGCAGTAAGAATTGACTAACTGGGAGCTTCCTTCAAAGTCGGAGTGCATCTGCCGGAAAGCCAAGGAACTCACAGTCTGCTTACTAGCGCTGTACCGAATATTCGCTTCGTATTCGCTTCGGGTTTGAATAGTGGACCCAATGACTATTCGGTGTTTCGCCGAATAGTTGTGGTCGGGCCGAATACGAAAAGTAGTTACCGTACACCCGCTTCTGCATACACAGCTTAATGCTGACAACATGAAACGATTGGTTTTGTTGAAACTTAATGCAGCTTTCCTGCATTAAGTAAGCTGTCAGTGACAATTTCCAAGTTTAGTTACTTGTTATAACACTAAGAATTCATTCAATCCTAGTTATTATTCACCACAGACTGACTGAAGGATGCAGAACATAACATGTTTTTAAATGTTTACTATTTTGTACGAATACTAACTAGACATGGCAAGAATATAAACTCCGGCCACATACAAGTCGATAATATAAAAATCAAACGAACGGAAACAAATAAGTACTTGGGTGCAAACTTCAACTGTTCCAACATGCTGAGAGAAGAAATACTGGCATCATGAGAGCTAACACTCTAAAATGGTTGAGGCATATTGAAAAAATGTCAGATGACAGAGAAGTAAAAACTGTATACACCTGAGAGAGGAACGGGCTTAGACCACGAGGCAGACAAACAATAAATTCGAGAGATAATGTCCAGCCAGACCTGCAAACAGCTGGTGTCACAAATTGTAAAGATAAGGCCAGCCAGGGAGATAAATGAGGACGAGTGATATCTGCAGCAGTAAACATTAAAGGCTCAGAATGCTAAAGAAGAAGATAAATATTCTGTGCTACTTTATGTGAAGTAAAAGCTCAGCGTACATTTGACATTATAAACTATTCGTATTCGGTCGAATAGTTGGTCCCGCTATTCGTAATCGGCCGAGTAGTGAAAATCACTATTCGGTACAGCTCTAGTTTCACGGACTATACCTGTTCAGCTACCTTGTGTGTAGATGTTTGAGTAGCCAATCTAAATAGCTCAAGGTTGGGTCGAAATGGGAGCCAGGGTCAATTTTTGGAGGATAGAAAAAGCTTACTCCATCAGGACCCGAACCCACGACCTTCCGATTCGCAGGCCAGCGTCTGGCCGCTAGACCCTAGTGGCTCCCTACTACAACCTAGTGGCACCCCGCTACACCCTAGTGGCTCCCTGCTACACCCTAGTGGCTCCCCGCTACAACCTAGTGGCTCCCCGCTACAACCTAGTGGCTCCCCGCTACAACCTAGTGGCTCCCTACTACAACATAGTGGCTCCCCGCTACAACCTAGTGGCTCCCCGCTACACCCTAGTGGCTCCCTGCTACATCCTAGTAGCTCCCCGCTACAGCCTAGTGGTTCCTCGCTACAATCAAGTGGCTCCCCGCTACACCCTAGTGGATCCCCGCTACACCCTAGTGGCACTCTGCTACACCCTAGTGGCACTCCGCTACACCCTAGTGGCAGTCCGCTACACCCTAGTGGTTACCCGCTACACCCTAGTGGCACTCCGCTACACCCTAGTGGCACTCCGCTACACCCTAGTGGCTCCCAGCTACACCCTAGTGGCTCCCCGCTACACCCTAGTGGCTCCACGCTACACCCTAGTGGCTCCTCGCTACACCATGTCAGCATGGTTACAACAACCTGTTCTCATTGACTGGCAATATGCACAAGATAATATAAACAAGTCTGAGGCCACTGATGAAACTACAGTTGGTACATATACTCAAAAAGTTATTTGAAAAGAACAACAAATTCATAAGAACTTGTGTGTGTGTGGCATTCCTAGTCCAGGAAAAAAGCATTCGACAGAGTCGATAGGCAAGTTTTATGGGAAGTAATAGCTCGATACGGGGTAAGCAAACACTCAACTGGAGTGTGTAACGTGTACATAAGGATAGTAGAAGAGTGGTAAGAATAAATAAGGGAACATTAAAACCAGTGTTTCCCAAAATGAGCGCAGGTGGAAAGCATTATATGAAAACATAACAAACAGCATCAGTAGTGAGAGAGAGGCAGAGAGAGAGAGAGAGAGAGAGAGAAAGAGAGAGAAAGAGAGAGAGAGAGAGAGAGAGAGAGAGAGAGAGAGAGAGAGAGAGAGAGAGAGAGAGAGAGAGCAGTCTGATCAGCCGTTCGTACATTTCTCAGTGTAACGTTACAGATGAAAATCAAGTAACAATTGCTAAATTTTTAAAACACACAAAGAAATTATATATAATTTATATAATAATTATATTATGGGAAGTAATAGCTTCATATGGAGTAAGCAAACACTCAACTGGAGTGTGTAACGTGTATATAATTAAATATTTCAACACAAAATGCGTTAAAATTTAGTTATGTAATAATATTCTCATACTTCGACAATGCGCTAAAATATAGACTGAACTGAAACTTCTACAAGGACAACAACATCATCATCATGTGGCATGTCCTTTGCGGAACGTCGCTCTCATCACAGTCTGCCTGAAAAAAACTCGGTCTCTCGCCAGTTCTCCCGCCTCGTTCACTTCCACACTCAAGGAGTCACTTATATCCTGTGCCCATCTTCGTGTCGGTCGGCCCCTGCTCTTCCTTTCTGGTACCATGCCCTCTGCTATAATTTTTTTCCAATCCGTGGTGGCGCTTGATCTGACCAAAATATTTCAGCTTCCGAGACAGGATGCTGTTTATTAGCTAATCTTTCTTGATCTTCAAATCTTTAAAGATCTCAATATTTCTCATCCTCTTTGTCCAATATATTCTGAGAATCTTTTTATAGCATTTAAGCTCAAAGGCCCCAATTCTTTTTCTTAAGGACTGAGAGATAGTCCACGAGTTACATCCGTATATAGCCATAGGAAAGATGCATGCTCTCAAAATTCTAATTTTTATCTCCTTGCTTTTTCTTCTTCTCCTCCTTATCTTCGACCATTTACCTCTGCTAGGTATTGGGGGAGGGGGGAAGATGTACGGATCATGTATGCGCTTTTTTCCCCAATGCACTGTACAAGCTGGTGTTTATTTCTGTTAGGTTGCTTTCTTGTAGTGAACCTTGCTCGCTCCAGTTCATTGTCGTTTCGCCAGTGTTCTTGTAGTTAAGCACTGCTCGCTCCAGTTCGATATTCGTTCACCGGTCTTCTTGTAGTGAGCATTGCTTGGCCAAGTCGGATGTTCGTTCACCGGTCTTCTTGTAGTGAGCACTGCTCGCTCCAGTTCGATATTCGTTCACCGGTCTTCTTGTAGTGAGCATTGCTTGGCCAAGTCGGATGTTCGTTCACCGGTCTTCTTGTAGTAAGCACTGCTCGCTCCAGTTCGATATTCGTTCACCGGTCTTCTTATAGTGAGCACTACTTGCCCAAGTTTGATATTCGTTCACCAACCTTCCTGTAGTGAGCACTGCTGGCCCCAGTTCGATGTTCGTTCACCAATCTTAGTGTAGTGAACACTGCTCGCCCCAGTTCATTGCTGGTTTACCAGTCTTCTTGTTTTAAGCATTGCTCGCCCCAGTTCATCGCTGGTTCACCAGTCTTCATGAAGTGAGTACTGCTCGCTCCAGTTCGATGTTTGTTCACCAGCCTGCTTTAGTGAGCACTGCTCGCCCTAGTTTATTGCCGGTTCACCTGTCTTCATGTAGTAAGCACGACTCGCCCCAGTTCGATTTTTCCAGTTTAACTGGAGTATGTAACGTGTATATAGGGATCGTAGAAGAGTAGTTAAAATAAATAGGGGAACATTGAAACCCGTGTTTCCCAAAATGAGCTGGGAAGCATTGAATGAAAACAAAACAAACAGCAGCAGTAGTGAGAGAGACAGAGAGACAGAGAGAGGAGAGAGAGAAAGAAAGAGAGAGAGAAAAAGGAGAGAGAAAGAGCAAGAGAGAAAGGAGAGAGAAAGAAAGAGATAGAGAAAGGAGA